AACAGCGCTTCGTGACCAAAACAAACTTCTTTTCACCATGGATATTACGTATCTTAACACTGTCATTCCTAATGGCGAAGGCCTTCTGGCCCTTAGACACTTTTTTGATCAACGTACTGTTAAAGAGCCTAAATCTGAAACACTACTACGCTTAGCCGAACTAGTGCTCACACTCAATTGTTTTTCATTCGGGGACAACTTCTTCAAACAAACCAATGGTGTAGCCATGGGCACCAAAATGGGACCTAGCTATGCCAATCTTTTTGTAGGTTTTGTCGAACACCAATTTTTCAGCCAATACAACGGCTCCAAACCTGAACTCTACGGTCGCTACATCGACGACTGTATCGGCGCTACCTCCTCTACCAGAGAGGAGCTGGTAATACTAGTGGCTCATTTTGTCTGCATCTCGGGGGAAAAGATTTCAAAATATTTCAACCCGAGCCAAAGAAAATAAAACTGCTCAAAAAGGGGTGAAACGCTTCAATCAAAACACGCTCTGTTATTTCTTGTTCACTTTTAAATTTTCGTATCGTTGGTCACTATAAGAAAGCAGAAAATTCAATTGAAGTCGAAAAATTTTGCTTTCAAAATTATCAATGTTATCAAAGGAAAACGAGACGATAACGCAACAAAAGAACAATTCCTACCGTGTTTGTCGTTTGTTTTGATCCACCTTTGAAATAGTCCAGAGCATTGAGACGACGAGGCAGTTGTTGAATAGATATCCTTCCCTCAGCTAAGCTGCTGTAATTCCGCTTTCCTTTCAATTGGTCAATTTAAAAAGCCATTTGATAATTTGAAGTGTTATGATGACACCTATCTTTATACTTAGTTCCAAAAAAAAAAAAGATGTCTACACAGCGGCTTTAAAGTGGCAAAGTAAGAAACAGAAAAAAGATGACAAACTTTTCATACATTGCCAATTCAGATAGAATCAACTCCATCAATACAATTTCAAGCTTCATTTGGCCAAACCAAGAGTGAGAAATAAAAGCAAATAATGGGTGAGGGAAGTCTATGGCAAACTTAGTTCTACTTCCGGTAGTTCTTAATAGTAATTTCATACTGGTAATTCGTTCAGGAAAGACGTTGTCCCTTTAAAAAACAGAGTACCCTTCTGCTATTCAATAAAATTAGCTACAATTATTTTTCAAAGACAGGCACTGTTTATCTTTGAAGAATTCAAAAGATTCGATGACCTTTTACGTTCCCGGTTACCTTGGAGTTAAGGTCAGTAGCAATTTAGGAATCTGTCCAAGCTAAATTCAAAATTGAACTATTGGAGCACTATGCTAGTATCATGTGTCTATCTCATGCCCTCACTCATACGTAAAACCTACAAGTGACCCCATCGCTAAAACGCTTACCTCCATGCCCCTTTTGATGAAAATAGGAAAAAAAAAGTCTTCTGAATTTTCAACCGTTAAAATCTTTTAAACATAATTTAAAAAGAGAAGCAATCAAATTTTATTTTCCAAGCATCTTGCCACTTTTTTGAGCTAAATACATATTTTTTTACATAGAACCGTCCGTTGAATGTGTTAGAAATACTGTCAGTTTCATATACACTTTATAGTTTGAAATATCTTTCCGCATTACTCCAGCCTCCTTTCGTTTTCATCAGCACACATTCTTTTTGTAGATAGCCATGCGTTTGTTGACCTAATCCAAGGAAATATCTCCTTGCAGCACTCTTTGGCACTAATTATTTTACAATTACCACAGTCTCGGGAAGAAGGGCATGCGCAAGGCAAGCGGTGTTACACAGAAATAATTCCTTTTGCGGCACCTCTTTTTCTTCGAAGTTTTCCTGAACTTATCATGTTTCCTTAATTTCCTTTTAGGAGCTGAAAAGTAAATATAGAGTAAGGAGAAGTTAGTATTGAGTGGATTTGCAGGTACTTACCAATGATTTTTTGTGGAACAGGTGCATATATTACGACTTCATAAATAATTTCTTGTCGTTCCAGTTAATCCCCTTTGATAATAATGCTTTAGTCATCATGTCTTAATTATACATATCTGACGAGGTGGCCGAGTGGTTAAGGCGTTGGACTGCTAATCCAATGTGCTCTGCACGCGTGGGTTCGAATCCCATCCTCGTCGTGGTATTCCTTTTATTGTTACGCCGAGACGGACACGACTTGTTTCTTTATCACGTTGACCCATAATTTTGGTTAAAGCAGGGACAATAACATCTTTATGACAATATCTTAAAGCCTTGATCGGTTCTTAGAGTTTATATCTCTATTTTCCTTATTTATGTTGATTGTTTTAATTTTTCTTTCCACTTCCGTTTATCACAGTAAATACGAAACACTCTCACCCTTTATACTCGTTAGTATCAAGATACACCAGCCGTTTCAATTCTTTAAAACTTTGTAATTTGAAAGTTTGAAAATCTCTAATTTCAGAATCATGAATAGGATATACTTTATGTTCTTCTAGTCTAATGAAAGATTATGTCTCCATGGATATTAAAACCAATACCACTCAGTAAACAGAGGACTTACCTAGTGGTGGTTTGTTTGTCACCACTCCTCGCCTACAGTGGCAGCAGTGGCAGCAGTGGTGACAGCAGTGGCAGCAAGGACAGTGGTGGCAACAGTGGTGACAGTGATGGCCGCAGCAGTCGCCACAGCATGGTTCACAGCAGCAATGGTGACAGTCCAGGTCATAGCAGTGCTCACAGTGAGGTTGGCAGATGCAACCTAATAGAATCAAAATATAGCCCTTTTTATGTGGAAAAACGTCAAAAACTGCAGCAACAAGAGAACGTGTACATAACAGTGGACTGTTAAGGTCTAAATTTGCAAAAATAACCACCGTAGGGATTTAGCATTTTGCTAACCTACTCACGAATCTTCAAAACGCTCTCTTGCTTACTAGTTATTTGAAACAAAACTGTCCAGGTCGGACACACAAAGCGGCGAAGATGTCGAATAATAACAGAACAGCGCTTCGACCAATGAGTTTAATGACAGCGAAGAATACCAATATTTACAAAACGATCCGGTCGCCCTTTCATCAAAGATTACGAGACTCAGGGAGCCATAAAAAGCACACGATGAAGGGCGGTAAGCGAAAGAAAAGGAACAGTTTTACGTACCTAAAATTTTACAAGCGCTTCACCACGTGCGAAAAAAGGATAGCGGGTAAAATTACTACTGAAGGATTTTGGTCTACGTGACATACAAAAAATGAAGAACGGAACGGACTAAAACATAAAACCTTGTTGAGGAATAGCCTGAACAAAAACTCTATCAAGTGACCTAAGACTACCATGCGCGGTAAAATACTCACTTGGGTGGTAACAAACGGGGACATTTACCCACTCTATATGTGGTTTGAGCCCTCCCCATTTGACACAACAGCAGTCTAAGGGGAAAAAAAAGGCATATTCTGATTTAATCAGAGTTATAACAAGATAATGATCTACCAAAGGAAAGAAGGAAACCACAAAGTCTGTGCACTATAATCTAAACCTTACTTCTCAAAAAACGATCAATACACAACATTTCGCACTCATATGGTACAAAATCCTCGCAGTTCTTGAGTTTGCAAACTTACCTTATTATGAGTTCTATTTTATATTCAATTCGAGTATATACTATTCTATTACAGTACTACACACTGGCGTTCTGTTGCAAGTGCTGCAATCTGATTGGCTACACTACCCTCCATCCATCCCGTGATAGACACTGAGTTAAGTGAGTGCCCTAACAATGGGCTTTAGTAAAGCCAATGAAATGAAATTATGAGCCTGTCTTGTGGTTGAAATTTGAACGACTGGTAGATAAATACAAAAGCAAATGTATTTGTGTGATAGTCTATTCGAGCCTCGCTCTCGTCAACTATCACGCGATAGAATTTTCCAGGCCAAAATCTAATTGTTGAGAAGGGTGACAAGTTTGGGGAGACTCTTTGGGCTCCATTGTTCATCACATATAAGCTTATAAAAGCCACACAATTACGAACATGCTTCATTCTAAGAGAAGGAGGGGAAGAGAGGGAGATAAGAAATTTTTTCCAGGACGTCCACAGAAATTATTAACACTCAAATAACCGGAAATCAAATATAGAAATCAAACGAAACAAGATTAAAAACCTCAGCTGGAAAGAGGCGTACTGGCTGGCTATTTACTGTCTAGGAAAATGAACAGACGAGCACCCCTTCCCCTCCCTCTCCTCCCCGATATGCCTTTGCTCATTGTTATCGATAAAATTCTACAAAGAATGAATTTAGTTACCAGTTCCTTCTGCCCTGCCTCCGCCTTCACCACCACCACCCCCACCTCCCATTCCGCCTGTTCCTCCCGTACCACCCCCTGTGCCCCCTTGGCCACCAATTCCACCCTGTCCTCCAATTCCACCTTGTCCGTTAGTTCCTCCCTGTCCGTTAGTTCCTCCCTGTCCGTTATTTCCTCCCTGACCATCAATTCCTCCCTGACCACCAATTCCTCCCTGTCCCCCAGTTCCACCTGTATTTCCTCCTTGGTTTTCCTGATCAAAATACCCTGGATCCCCTCTAAAGTCTACCCAATCATTTTGTTTTCGGGGTCTTTCATAATCGTGGCACTCTGGTGGCGCTGGCCTATGTAGTCTTCGACCCCTTCGATGATAAGGGTGACGACATCGATGTCTACGCCGGCGCCGGGGCGGCATACAAGGAGCCACAGGTTCTGAATCTAGGTCATCGCTATTTAGTTCATCCTCGCCCTCGTCATAGGTATCGTCATCGGCAGCATCGTCTAAATCAAGGTCGTCGTTAGAATCCTGGATGTCATTTGTAGAGGTAGCGCTGGTATTAGGCTTCCCTTGAGGAGAATTAGCAACAGGAGGGGTGGAAACAGCAGGCTGTCCTGAAAGAGTTGACGCCTGTGCCGTGGTTCGCTGGATTGTGTTAACTGGCTGACCTCCAGGTTGCGTTTGAGTGCCAGCCACCTGTCCTGCAGGTTGAGCAGCAGCAACCATTGTAGCTGCAACAGGAACTGCAGGAACCGTTAAAGCTGCAGCAGAAACTGTTGTAGCTTGTTGGAAAGGCGTCAGAGTTTGTCCAACAGGCTGACCTGTATTCAGTTGGTTTTGGGCGCTCAGACCAGGTACACCCGCATTACTGTTCCTGGAGTTTATGACACTGTTCCCGGAGTTTATGACACCTTAAATTTGCGGGCTCCGCTTTGCTAGGAAGTTTACGTTTTCATAATTTGGACGATTTCTTCTGATAATTTCCTTTTTTTGCAATACTTCAGTTTTCTCTGAGAGTGCTGTCCACTGAAAACTGCTCAATAGGATTGGCAGGAGCCATAAGATGTATGAAACACGTTGCATCTTGAATTCTTCTTGCTTCCAAACCACCACAACTAGAAAAGAAAAAAAAAAAAACCAGCAACTACTTCAGAGCCACTTCATTAAATTGAAACACCGTATAGCGAAATTAAAATGTTCATTGAGGTCAGTGCTCTTTATCATATTATAATTCTTCAATCGACGTCTACGCGACAAGAAGTGATTTGATTAAAAGACTGCAATGTCTAGCCTTCTCCTTGTAGATAAGCCCATTTTGATAATTGCGTTCGATTCTATTAATCATACAGTAATACAGATGTTTTTGTCAAGCACAGAGCCGTCCTGTTCAGTAAATGTAAGATTCGATACACTTCATCTTCTTGGTATAGGCGCCCAAATAGAGAGGGTTAAAAGTTAAATCGAAACAAAAGCTTAAAAAAAAAAAACCTACTCCCTCTATGTATTCACCGACGTTCATCACATAAAAAAAACAGTTATAGCACTTGTTATTATAAAGATCTACTCAAAGGAAAGGGGAAAAGAGCAACTCGATTCCAATACATTAAAAGCAGATTTATGTACAATAAGCTCAAATACTCTCAATCGACAGCTATCCAGGGTTCAGTTTACTTAATACAAGTGCACCTGTGGTAATTAGAAAAAATGCTATGGGTGACCAGTCTTCTGGGTTCTGTGCGCCACAGAAAAGTTGCGACTGCCAGAAGACTTCATAACAAGCTGTTGTTCCGTAGTTTGAAATAAATAAGGACGGTTTTGAATACATCACAAGAATCAGTCATCTAAATGACTTACCTTTATCTAGCCAAAACCTACATCAGGGCTTGTCGTTTGGACAATTCACAGTCCAAGTTTCTTCATTCTTCAATACCTTCGATGTGGTCTCGTCAAATTTGCTTTTTTTTTCTCTTTTTCAAAAAATGGAATTATGACCCAACCTTCAGTGATTAGGGAGATCGATAAAAAGAAAAATGAAGGGAAAAATCCCACAATCTTTTCGGCGGTTTTGGTAAAATGTCTCTTACAGAAATTAAAACAATTAGAGAAGCTTACCTAACAACGTGATGAAATATTTATCACCAATGAACATCGACAAAAGTATTTCATTTCAATAAAAAATCTTTTGGTTTTACTGAGCACAATTAAAACTTGTTTAGTTGAATCTATTAGTTTTGAAATATATATTTAAGGTGAGATATTTAGCGTAGACCAATCTCTTCTGAACTCTAAGCGACAGGCCACACTACTTGACCTGCATTCTTTGATTTTTCAAAGTACTTGAAAGGGCATTTGCCACCCTAAATAAGGTCAACCACTAAAATGTCTACAACTGTGTAAACAGGCACGGCATCTTGTAACAAAGGTTATTGATTGTCTTCGTATTCAACAACATTCTCGGCCGCATATCAAAGATACGATTGCAAATTGTCGTAGTCATTTTGGGAAGAAACGAAACGAGTGAAACCAGTAAACATTGACAACAAAGTTTAGCTGTTTTTTCAGCGCAACCACGTTTTAAACCATCTTCAATATAATTTGGATATATCAACAAAGTTGAAATGGTAAATTGGCCACCGTAACGATTACAAAAGCTGACGTTTCGAGCGTTAGCCCTTCGTCGGAGCGAATAGAGGAATTGTGGGTTGTGTGTGCTTTTAAAGGCAGAAAATGGAGCTACGTTATTGGTGGGAACATGGCAACGAGAAAAACAAGAATAAATTAGTGGAATGAAAAGCGTTCGTTGATCCCTGTGGGATTTAGACTGCCGCTTTGAAAGATGAGCTTTTGTTCAAGATTTTTACGGCTTTCTGTGCTACTTAAGTGTAAGGAAAGACCGCAGATTGCCATATGTTGCTTAGAATGATTAGGTCTTTGATATAACCGAACGTTTTATCTAAACCTTGATTTTGTGAAGATGGCTTAAATCTAGCATTGTTCCTTACTTCAAAGAAACGGCCACATAATTTATGTGAAAATCTCGAGGTCCACCGATTGTCGTAAACTGCGACCTTAATTTAGCTCTTGATATGTAGAGAAATTCTCCTTGTTACTGCCATAGAAGATATATAGAGAAGAGTGTGGTGAATATGCCAACTGATCATGTAAGCTATGGGGTAAAGGGTTTGGTGGAGTTACCTCTGTAGGCAATCATTGCAATTCTTCTCTCGACTTCAAAGTTTGACTCAAAGGTGAAACTGTCAGGAGAAATTAGATACGCAAAAGGTTTACCACCGGTCACGCCTAGTGCGACCTATAGCCAACCAGACGGATCTGAGTATGTTCATTACTGACAATAAATGGAGAGCACTGTTTTGTTTAAGAGAAAGAGCAACGTTCCATTGCTGTCACACATTCAGTTCTCACATCTCAGTAGACGATCGACTCGGCAGCCCTTTGCTAGTTAATCTTGTGACGTCATTAACTAGTGGAAGGATCAAAGTACAGCGCTCAGACTGGGTTGCTTCTCGTTCGTGATCATCGTTTCTCAGTTCGAGGCACTCAACCATGAAGAGTTACACGACGACTCAAGAAGGGAAAGTAGTTTCCTACTTCTTGGACACAATCGTTTCCCGGCTTCTAGTCAGGCTACCCGTTAACAAACAAGAAAACAAACTAAACGCGTGAAACATTCTAGTGTTTTGTATAGATGGTGGGCTGCGAACGTTGATTCCACGAAACCATAGAAGGTCTGAAGTGAATGAGGAACCCGGGGGTACTCGATATATTCCTGGGTGGGGACGTGCAGCACGGCCCATCGTACCCTGACCTTTTTTTTCCTACCCTGATTAAGACAGAATTCCGATTTTTGATACCCTGTTTAAGACATTTAATGTGCCTGGTATCAATGCCAAAATCAACGGAATTCAATTTTAATTAAAATTAGAGCTTGTAAAAATTTTGCTGTTTATCTTCCAAGAAAAGATATCCTGTTTAAGACAAAAATTGATAAATCGATACCCTGATTCAGACAAAAAATGATAAATTCGATACCCTGTTTAAGACAAAAATCTCGAAAAACACACCCTGACACGTCCCCATTGAGCCCTAATAAGGGAGTACCCCCGGGTGTGGAACACACTCTTGCTTATTGCACTCGCTTAATTTATCCCATTTTGAAAGCTTACAGGTCAGCTTCAGAGATACAATTAGTGGCTAGAATCTCAACGTTGCTCATTTTGACGCCAAACACCAGGAGCACTCATCAAGTTCAACAATATAACTCAACCGAAGTGCGGTCAGTTCCTTCTCTTCGCAACAAGATCCCCCCAAGCGGAGGTTAAAGACACATCCCCTTTTGGTTTGTGCATGTACGTTTGTTTTCTACGTTTTTCAACTAAATTTCAGAGAACGAACAAGTGCGAGGTTTTTTGGGGCAGTTTAGGGAAAGCTGGAGATATCCAAAAAGTTGGGCATTCCACTGTTAATTACGAGAAAAGTTAACCTAATCTCACCAGAGACGACACAGGTCAAGGATTTCATTATTCCAAAAAATCATTTCCAATTTATTGCTGATCAAAATAAACTATTTTAGACATGCTAGGGAGAACTGAATTTTTTATGAGCTGGCTAATAGTGCGCAAACCAAACCTCCTGGAACAAACAACGTGTGCAATTCAGATAACTCAACGATCTTACGTGACGCTAAGACAACTTTTTTCTGTCACTAACGTCACGCGACATGTGTCACAAATAGCTGCTGCTTGGAAAACTTCGGCCACTATTTTCTTGACTTTGATTTAAACTAATAACCAAATGATAAATGAAATACCTTATTAAAGAGCTGAAAAGGAAAAAAAATGTCAAGAATAAAAGTCAAATGTTTGACTTCTCGCCTGTGACCGAAGCACAAATGGTTGGAGGAGTTTACCTCTGGCTGTGCGACGTAACTTTTGTAATTAGCAGAATAGTTCCTTCTTTAGGTAACAAATTGGAAGGAAACCTTCAAAAATTCTGTTCATCGAACGCAGATAAGGAAGATTTTCCTAGCAAATCAACCCACTTGGAAAGTCTTTGCCACCTGCTACATGTAATTTAGGTCAAACAAAGTTTGCGAAACAACTGTGGTCGATCAATATACATGCTGGCAATTTGTTGTACTCAACAATTAATTTTCTTTAAAAAAAAATATGTACAGTCCAAATGATTTGATTTTTCTCGAAAGATACTAAACCTTGTATTCTAAACGAATCTATTTTTCCCCACGAAGAAAATGAAAAAAGACCGTTACATTCGTCACGCAAGGACGTATGTCAGGCACTTCTCAATCTTGGTACTCTTCACAGCAAAAATTAGTAAAGCTTGATTCACATAATACAGTGAATTAAAATTCCAGCTATCCGAGTTATTTCACATTGTTGCTGTATCGGTCCCAGAAAACTGTTTGAATTAACCAACGATACTTTTTTTTTCTGCGAAATTATCAAAACTATTTAAAAAATCTCCTGTTTACTATTCACACAATCATAAAAACACTTAAACTGTAAATCCTCCATCGCCGAATTCCACATCAAAATGAATTGCAACCCTCTTGTAATGAAAGCAGAGGAAGATTGGTCGGTTTTAAGGCGCCTAAAATGAGGCGACTAAAATACCTGGCCTCGTTGCATTTTGGGACACCAACTGTTCTTGCAAATGAGGAGCTGTTGTAGACAACTGGCGTTCATCGAGATGACACATTAAAAAAAAAAAAGTTCATCAAGAGAGTCGAACACCGAGGGAGAAAAAAAATCTAACAAGGAACAAAGATTATAAGTTTGATCTTAAAAACTTGGTGGTACATTTTTCAAAGTGAACAAGCTGTGTCATTGCTCTCTCCTGACACAGTTTAATCACTACCTCTGGGAAGCAAGAGGCAAAAGTGGAGACATCAGTTGGAGGATTTACAGTAACCAAATTTGCAATTAGTCTACACCAATTTCTTTAGCAAACGACCATTAATGAAATCTAATAGGCCATTAGGTTTTTCCTTTGCTGTTAACTGCATGTTTCATCTACCCCTAGACCATTGTGTTTTGTGCTGTTCACGGCCAAATCCTTCATCATAGTTGCCTTTGGTTTTGAACAGCTGTTTGAAGTGCGGTTTACAGTAAAGTTTCCCTTGTAGAGCAGCATAATTTCCCAGTCTACAGGAAGTAAAAATAACAGAGAAAGAGTCAATTCAGTTACAATGGCGCTGGCATGGACACGAAATAAGTACAGAAACACGGCCTCACCATTTTGGATGGTGTTGCCACTTACCGGTACACCTCCACTGGCACATACTTTTATCGACATGTAAGCGCGTTAAACCTTAAACTCGTAGAATTGGTTAACATTTAGCATACAGGTAATGAGAATAGAAAAACTCACACCCTGAAGGGTTTATTTAAGGACCAGAAGGGAGATTTATAAGTCTCTTTTTGGAATTTACTGGAGATCAGATCAAGATCTATCAGATTACGTGCTTTTAACAATATCAATAGGATATCAAGCAGACAAGTGATGAGAATAAAGAAAATAACAATTAAAGGATTAGTAGTTGATTCAAAACAAAATTCTCCAAACTAATATCATAAAAATTGCATGGTTAACTGCAAAGAGCATTACCAAATAAATGAGATGTTGGGAATTAAAGGGCTGAAGGACTATTGCTTGTTGTTACCATGCATTCTGATTGATTTTTCTGATTGAAATGTTTTTAAATATTCATTTTTTCTGCTAACTTATTATTTTTGAAAATCACTAGTTATAAGCTACATGTAGTGAAATTTCTGCACAATACCCTGAAGTTATGCAATAACATCCAAGAAGGTTAATTTGAACTAACATTACTGAAAGACCTAAATTTAATTGAAAATGTCCCGAGTTAGTATCAAATTCTCTCAACTACTTCATCATTGTATGCAAATCACTGCAACATAGAGTCCCCCTCCTCTGATGAATTTTTACAGGAGGGGGGGAGGGTCAGTCAACTAATTTGAGTAAATGGACAGAGTAGGTAAACTCTCCCAAGTTGAATAACTGTACATCAGATAGGAAAGGAAAGAAACAAAATAAAATCAACGGTAAAAAGACCAAGATTAAGACCAATAACGAGGGCTAAACAAAAAAAAAAAAAAAAAAAAAAAAAAAAAAAAAAAAACACCATCAATTACACGCATACACTAATAATATGTACTATCATTCAATTTTCTTCCCTTAATGTCATAAGATAATCATTCTTCAAAGCTTTCAGGAGCTACGACTAATAATCCTAGATAAAGTCTACTATCTATTACAAAAGTTTAAGGACAACAAACTACGATTACAAATGAACTGTCAGAAGCTTGCGAATCATGCCACGTATGTTGTAAGAAAAAAATTCAACTCTTACACAGTACTATCAAGACTTTGAGAAAAACTTAAGCAACCAGGTATAATTTGTAAAATTTGTAAGTCAGTTGGAATTCTTGTTGTATTTTATTCTCACCTTCAGGCAGATTTTGGTGGTTTTCCCACTCTACCAAACAAAAATGTATCAGTAAGTAACACGATATTTAAGAAACAATTTCTGACGTGTTTTGTGATCATGAAAATCTTGTGAAGATGACAGGACTGTGATGCTCTCATCGGGCATACACACACGGACGACAAAATGATGTTGATAACTGAACTGGATGAGGAAAAAACAATGCTGTAAATGACTTCTGATTTGTATTTAAAGGATCCTCAGTTCATCTTGGCAATTTTCTTGGTGTCGTTAAACCAAAGTCTTCTCGCCACTAGCTGCATCTTGTACAAAAGTTAAGGTTAGTTCACTTGTTTAAGATTTTATGACCTTTTAAAACGTTACAGTACATGTACCGTGTGTGTAACACCAAACATGTGTTTTAAAATGCTAACATGGTTCCTTGCCATTTATGACTTTTTGTCTCGTCCAGCATCAATACAACTTTCTTGAGTCATCACCAAATTTTCAAGTTATCTTAATTAACATTAAGATGTAAAGATGTTTTAATTTCAGTTTTTCTGAATATTTCTGAAAATCAATTTTTCTTTGTCGTTAGGAAACATACCAATCCGACAATTAATTATTATGAGTAACGGTAATTTTTTTCAGACAAGAGTAATTAATTTTATGTATTCTAGAATATAACTATCAGAAAGTTCCCATAGTTCTCTTGAAAATAAAATTAGACACTGAAAAGTTTGTTGTCAATTTTTAAGAGATTTGAAATTGGTGTAAATCAGTATCATTATTATTAAAAATACATACCGAAAAGAAAATCACATTTAATTTAAAATGTAAAGTACATTGGTGGATTTTAACAGCAATTAAAAACTTGTTACATGAATAAAACTTACAAATCCAAAATCACTTTGCAGTTCTGACAGTATTAGTTTTTTAGTAATAATATTGACAGATTTAAGTTTTCAGGTGTGGGTGACTTTTTGGGGTGCACGTGCTCACATGTATTATAAATATGTCACTGGAGAACAAGGCAAGTGCAAAATGCATTCACAACTGAAATAAATGAGCTGTGACGTGACAGTGATGTAATAGGTAAATCAACATTTCAAATTACAAAATAATGCAATTATTGTTATGCAAATCTAAACTGTACGTTGGAAAAAAAAAACCAAACAATCTTATTAAATGGAAATGTGCTCACTACAGTTTTTGTATCACCTTTACTGGATTTAAAAATGGTAAAGATCATCTTCTAAAGGTTTGACCGATTAGAATTATGTACATGTACTATCCTGTGCAGGTGAAGCTTAAGCTTAAGCTCAAGCCTCAAGTAAAGCTTTGGAGGTAATAAGCAGTAATGACAGATCCAATTCTGAGAACAAAAAGCCTCAGTCTGTACCCATTACTAACAATGGTTATTCTGGACTCTGAAATATGAAGAGGGTATTGTTGTAAACACACACATGTCATGTAGTTTGCTAATCTATTGTAAGAAAACCCACCATGATTTTTACCAAATTTTCCAGAAAGTTTATTAGAACCCAGATATACTCCTTGATTAACAGGGAGTATGAGTCAAGTGTCTTGCCCAAGACCACAACACGGCTACCCTACAAAGGTTCTGAACCTATTTTATCCACAGTCCAGCTAATGTCCGTCCACACTGATTAGGCCACCGAATATAAAACAGACAGTTCTACTTGTAAGTTGCTACTGATTAAAGTGTATTACTGGATTACAGTGGCTCTCCTCTCCCAAACAAATTCTTAGAGACAATTAAATTCACACAAGCTAGGTACATACATCACCATATACTGTACTGTGCATCTGGAAAATTCTTAGCTGTGAGAATTTGATTCTACCTCAACACATTTCCTCTTTAAGATCAATTCTAGCTGCTAAAACCATCAGTTAACTCAATAAAACATTGACACAAATGATCCTTATAAAGTTCTCTTAAGAATATCTAGTCTTCCAATTTACCAACATGTAGCATCTTTACGTCACATGATACATATTCCCAAAGTAAATATCAACTAATTGCAAGCACTGATGAAATAAGTTGAGACATCAACAAACCTCAGTGTGGATTTGCACTCAGCACATTTAAAACAAGTTTTATGGAACACTTTCTTGTCAGCAGCAAGCCTCTCCATTGGATACACAGTCTTCTTGCATGTCTCACATTTCTCTTGCTGAGGTGGTGCAAAGCGATTAGTCCTCTGTTGGAAATAAAGAGCCTGCCATTAATATTCTTAAGTTTTACAGCAGGCTCATAACAAAGACAGCACATTCTCTTAAGTTATTTTAAGACCCTGAGTGTTGATCCTGTCAAGTACTAAACAATAACTAAAAGTCATTTTTCATTATTAGTACAGGCAATAAAATGATTTCAAGTGCAACTTGGTGTAAAATAAGCACAAATAAATTTTTCAGACACCAAAGTTACACACACCTGTAGGGCGAGTGCAATTCAGTGTAGTCTTTAAAACATTTTTGAGTGCTTTTTTTACACCAAATGACAAAATAAATGATGTTATTTCTTTTAATAATTAACATGAAAAAAATGTCACAAAGTCAAGACAGACAAAGTTCTAACTGTATTATCATGATGCAAGGCGGAGCTGTAATAAAAATTGAAGGGAGCCTTGAGTGTTCTGAAACTGTGAAATTCAGGGTGCCCAGCATATGCTTTTTATGAAAAAACTAAGATTCCTGAGTTGCACAAGAGCAAAAGTAAGGTGCCAGGGGCCACCAGGCACTGCTAGACACAGCCCTGTGTATGCACTATTTGTAATTTGCACTTACAACTTTGCCCTCTAGTTACTGTAAAAGCCCACGTATAAGCTGCACTTTTTTCCAAAAATCGTCACTAGTAATTGGAGGTGCAGCTTATCTGTGGGAACATCTGAAAAAGGTGTCATGAATGTCCATTTTCACATCCGATCTAACGTCTGGTTACTAAGCTTCGAATCAGTGTTCTGCTCACATTCTTGTTGTAATGCAAACGTCTATAGAAAAACTGTTGAATGAAGAAATTCTTGTCAACAGATACAAGAAAAAGACCAATCATATGTCAAAGTTGGTAGAAACGATGTTCATAATATTAAAGTGCGAAAATTGTGGGTAAGACTTTGAAGAATTTTCTGTTGCAATGTAAATACTGAGTTTGCGTTCGATGAAGAGTGGATGACGAAGACTTCTCAAAACTCGACTTTGGATTTCTTTTGATTTCTTTCAAAAAACTTTTTTTCCAAAATTTGAACTGCCAAATTCAGGGTGCAGCTTATCTGTGGGTATGGCTTATCTCCGGGCTTTTACGTTGAATAAAATATTCACTTATTTCCAGAAAATCAGAAGCATAATAGATTTGTATGCTCATTATTACAAATCTTACACAAAACAAGTGTTGCAACTTAGATCTACTCTTATATAAAAAAAAGAACCCCTCAGCTCTAACAGAGTCCTTGCTAGCTTGCAATCAAGCTAGAAGTGATATAAGGTACAAAAAATCATGACTCACAGTGTACAATACTAGTATGTGAACAAACTCTTGAACAAATACAGTTACAAACCCCTACCTTTTCACTATCATCATCAGATCCCCCACTAGTCAAAGTTTCCTTTAGGATATTAACTGGCTGTTAGTTGGTTAAAAAGCTTAAAGCTTGATAAAGATTAGCTGGTTAATTTAACAGCATAGGTAACTGAAGTCAATAAAAGATAAAAGCAGCACAGCAAACTAAAGATTCCTTAAGGGATTTGGTGTTAGTGTTCATTGCAAAACAAGAAAACAACAAGATGGCAGTGAATAAGAAAAATAAGATCATGGACAGCAATGTTTCTTGGGCAGAATTCCTTCCCCAACATTTGTGGCATTTAAAATTCAAGTTCATATCTTCAAGACTTTGGTAGCTTGAACAACTGTGATCCAGTGGGCAACCATGTTTTGCAACTTGGTTGTCAATGATAAACTTTGGTAATTTTTTAAAATGACTGGAGGAACTTGAGTTCTAACCCCACTGCATATAAAAGGTTTTTTCAGCAAAAGAGCAGAAGAGCAGCACATTGAGTTTTAAAAGAAAAGCACTTTCTATTTGCTTACCTCAAAACAATCATTATTGGAACCATCTTGATTAACCACATCCTTGAGAACGTTATTAGCACATAAATTGATTACACACAATTAGCACTCAGTCAATAACTTATTAACGAATTCACGCATGAGCAAAATATTCTGGAGCACTTATGAGCATAGGCCAGCATGACATATACAGCATGTACATTGTACATATATATGTATACAAATACAGCTGTTCATATTAACACAAAATTCATGTTATGCACATTGGAGATGTACAGCTGAACAAGTTCAACAGTCATGTCCATTCAGGCCACATAATGCGTAAGAAAAACATCTCTGACCCAGCATCTTTTTGCACTAAAAGTGTAGAGTGTTGTAACATGTAGGGTTGATTATTGTTAGAAAGTATTATGCGTAGACCATCTCCCATCGCTACCAATTTTTTAAAATGTTTTTGCGAGTAACATTCAACCCTTTCCTTAACATGGTACCATTTAATACCAAACAACCTTTTTAGTTCATCATCCACCTTATATTACCACAATTTCATTTGACAGTACAGGCTGTCATGGATAATTAAGAATATATATATCTGATTAACCAAGCGCGAGGGCCGTACTGGGAGAATATCGGCCAGAGGTCTTGACAGTGCGGACCAAGTGCAGCGAGGTCCGTACAAAAAGAGACCAAGGGCCGATATTCTTCCAGTACGGTCCCCAGCAAGCTTGGTTAATAAGAGATTTATTATACGACTGAAGTTCAAAGGGACACAAGTGCGGTATCATTTGGGACCGTTCGGGACAGTGCCCGGTCCAATACTTAGAGAATATTGGACCGGCAACAGAGCATTTCGATTGTTTGATTTTAGTTATTGGCCCTCTGACCGCCCGAGTCGTGTAATAAAAGCAGATACACACAACCAGTCACAGATTATAACTCAAGAAAGATGTGGTGAACCAAGCTACAGTATGACAAGTCTGTAAATTGATAATCAATAGTGTGGCACATACACTGTAAATGTATTTCACAAGTTAAGTACTGTAAAAAGAAATTTTAAATTTAGCTAATACTGTATGACAAACATGTACACAAACACCTGCTGAAAAAAACAAAAAAGTTTTTGAAACAGTTGTTCTCATAAAAAGTTGCACTCACAGTAGCAGGTTTAGTAGTTTCTTTGGTATTCTCCTTCCCCTCTAACTTGTTCAGAGTTTCTCTTGTACCCCTCGGCTTGTAACCGCTATTCTCTCCCTGGACACCTGTTTTCAATTTGATGCTGCCAATCTCATCCTCCTTTTCTTCTCTTTGTGCTCTCTTTTCCTGTAAATGCAAAAAGTCATGAACGATTTAAACAAAAAAATTATTAAATGTCAAGAGAAATGGAGAAGATCTCACGAAACAATTCTCACATAGGTTTTTTTTTAATTTTTTTTTTACTGCATGGGGAGAACTTAACAGCCTCAAGTTAACAGGGCAATGTTGGCACTGTAAAAGAGTATAAATGGTCAATTCCATTCACAGTGTTCTCTGACAATTCTATTCTAGCAAGGACAATTGGAATTACTGATAAGAGAACATCAACAAAAGAGAAAGGGTATGGGAAAGATAAACGGGAATCGCATCACTTGACAGTAGATTGAGTAAAATATTAAAAACAAATAAAAATATGAAAATAAATTACAAATATTCAAAAGAAAACTCTGTTCACACTAAAAAGCAAATCTTGAGGCATCACTTCCATATAATATATTCATACACATCTATTACTCATCTACACCTTGAGCAAAGAATTGCTAAAATTGAACACTCAGGTTTTCAGTCCCTGATGGCTGAGGATATGACAAGGTTGCAATAAGATTGTAAAAAAGTGAGACTGTACCACATGCAATGTGTGCCTGCGCTGCATACACTGACCGTACAAAAAATGTCAAAGTAATATGCTCCAAGTACAATGTACATGGTACCTGTCCAAAACTCCCTTAAATAAGAATATGTAATGACTGCACAAGTCAGAAAAAAAAAATTTCATCCGACTGTACTTACCTGATTATCTCCTGACTGTTTCGGTGTTGATACAGTCTCACTTTCAGCCTTTGAAGGCTTGGAACCTCCAAGTCGAGATGTACTAGAAATTTTTTCTTCCCCTCCCTTCTTATCAAATCTTGCTTTCACAGTTGCAGTGTATGATGATTTCTGCTCAGTAGCATTACTTGTTTGCTCTTCTTCTGAGGTGGATCCTCTTTTAGTTAAGGCTTCTACAGGAATTGCTTCACTTTTACTACTGCTTCTCCTTCTCTCAGCTCTTTCTCTCCTCTCCTGTCTCTTACGTGCCAATGTATCTTCCTTCTCTTCTACCTTATCAGGTTTGGCTTCTTCTTCCTTTTCTGTTGCCTTCTCGGCAGCCCTGGCTGCTGCTCTGCGTGCTGCTCTTTTCTCCTCAATCGTGGATTGCACTTCTTCAACTCTGTCCACACTAGCAGACTTCTCAACACTACCAGTCTCCTCAGAATTGCCAGCACTTTTTAACCTACGTTCAGCCCTTCTGGCTGCTAAAGATGTTCTTCTTGCAGAGGAGGCATCTGATGCAACTTCAACGTCATCCTCAGAGGTAACATGTGCATTCTGCCTTCTTCTTTCTCTTCTCTCAGCCCTTCTTGCAACCAGATCTTTTGCTTTATCTTCTTCTGATTTGGATTTTTCTTCTTCTGCAGGTTGAACTTCACTTTTCTTAACATCCTTTTTCTTGCCATCTTGCAAGTCCACACTCTTTGCTTCTTGGAACATACAAAAGATGATTTGTTAGACAGCTATCAGAAAAGGAACCTTAGTTAAAATGGGACCCACCCCACTTGACATAATACTGGGTTTTCATTTAGAAATGCAGTAGGAGGAAAATAGTATGAAGTAACTAGAGAAAATTATCCACTTATGCACGTATAAAATGGATAGCAGAAGCTCAAGCCATCTATATTAAGGCAATTAACCAATTCAAATTCTCTGCTGTGAGAATTCAATTTAAACAGATGTACATTTATTTGTAAACAAATCATGAACAAACCCAAATTAGCTAATTCAGACACTTTGAAATACAAAAATGTGAGTTTAGTTAACTATTATTTTTTTAACCCTGCAATATGCAGGAAGCAAATTCTGGAAAAAGCTAGTCTAGTCACATCTCATCGGACCTAGACAATTCCCCTTGAAACATACATGTACATGAACATGTACAGTGTATACCTCTAGCAAAATTTTCATCTAGAGTTATGTGAGAAAGAATGCACAAAGCTACCTGAGCTTTATTATGCATTTACCAGCACAATCAAATACTCTAATTATAACTAAAAACATCTTTATACAGACTGCACATGTACATGCACGATTAGGGGTTTATTAAGGTTTTTTAGCAGAAGGGCAACTGGTTTCCACAGATAGGCTGAACTTTTTGAACTGAACTTCTTTATAAGATCTAAACTTTCTTCCAGATGGTCAAACCAGGTCGGTATAGGCATCCTTGCAGCAGGTCAATTTGCCTAGTACTGGGTCCTTAATAAAACCCCTCACCATGTGAAACTTTTAGTAGACTCACCTTCCTCCATAGCTTTCTTCTTTTCTCTCAGAGCTCTCCTTGCACGATAATCCAGTGGAACATCTCCATCATCGTGCATAGTAACAGAATAGGTGGGTTTGGGCTCATCTTTAATCTGTTTAGGTTCAGGCTCTGCATATTCCTTGCCATCATTTGGAACAACTCCATGGTCACGCATAGTAACAGAAAAAGCTGGTTTGGGCTCATCTTCCTTGCCATCATTGGTGTCTTCTTCAACATGGAGATCAACTGGAGTTGACTCGTACACATTTGAAGATGCAACTGTAATTTCACCACCATAATCATCTTCAATTGTCTCACTAACTTCTCTCTGTTCCTCTTCATCTGATTCATGTTTCTCACCATTCATTTTATGATCATCATCATCCTCATGAACTTCTCCTTCATCTTTTTCTCTCTCTTCTGTTTCTTCATCTTTAGCTTTTTCTTCTTCAAAAACACCCTCACTCTTGTCTTCTGGAATTGCCTCTTCATGTGCCACATTTTCTTTGTGCTCTTTGGACTTTGATGAAGATCTCCGCTTCTTCTTCTTTTTTTCTTGGTCATCTCCATGTTTCTCTTTCTTACTTTTTTTCCTTGTGCTTTTATCAGGTATTTCTTGAAGTCTTGATTTATCTCTAGTTTGCACTTCCAAATCTTTAGCAGCTTTCTCTTCAAAAGTCATCTTGTGCGATCGAGCTCTACCAGCAATGGCTTCCTCCTCCTCGTCCCTCAACTTCTTTTCTGATGTTTTGGTCATACCAGCCTCAATGACCTTTTCATCAAAATATTCTTTGTGTGACGATGCCTTTCCTGTAAGATTCAGTTCATCATTGTTTGACCTTGCTGTTTGGACTTTTGAGGCTTCTTCAGCAAATTGCTCAAATTTTTGCCGATGAGACTTTGCTCTTCCGCTCAAGTCGATCTCCTCATCTTCAACTCGTTTAGAACCCTTTTGACTTCCATCATTTGACGACCCAAATTTTTCAAAGATTGCACGTCGTGATGTTGCCTTGCCAGAAAAGACATCTTCCTCTAAATGAAACTTGCGAGATGCTTTGACCTGGGACTCTTCCTCAATCTTTTGTTGGAAAATATTGCGATGAGCTTTTGCTCGACCTGAAATATCTACATCTCCAAGAATTCTTCTCTCTGCACCAGGAGATGTTGCTTTATTCTCTGATGCAAATTTTTCAAACAGTTCTTTCTTTGATCTTGCCTTTCCAGAAATGTCTACTTCTCCTTCCTGCTCACCAAATATTTTTCTTGGAAGAGATGGAGACACTTGGGCACTTAGCCTGGCCTGTTCTTCAAACAGCTGTTTATGAGATTTTGCTCTTCCTGACAGGTCAACCTCCTCATCGTCCACTTTAATTTTTGGTGTCCCTTTCTTTGCATCCTCTGCAGTTGCTTTCTCAAATGTGCTGCGTCGAGAACTGGTAGGCACAAAAAGGTCTTTCTCTTGCTCTATGGGTCTGATTTTAGCCGTACCTGTTTCACTTGCCTCTTGTGCTTTCCTCTCAAATAGTGACTTACTGGAGGCAGCATACCCATGCTGTGGACGCTCACCTTCAGCTATCTTCCCTGCTTGTTGAGCCCTGGAATATATAAAGGGGTACACATAATTATGATATTACTACTGAGTGCTCCTATATAATATCACAAACCTGTCAAGCAAACATGAGTATTTAAAATCCAGTACTGGTAGGTATTTTCCTCTATACAGATTTGGTGCAAATACTGTAAGATTGAACATGACCAACTAAAACTGGGGAATATTGAGCAAAGAACAACTGGGAACAAAACACATTGCTGAGGAGATTTTCTTCTGAGGACACTATTTTCAAGGCTTGTAGTTTCCCTTGAGCTTCTCTCTTAGCAAACCATACATTTCTTACAACATTAAATACACAGAGCACATTATTATTTTACCTCAAACGAAGATTATAAAGGTAAAAGGTACAGTGTGCATGGCACGCACATTTTTAAGGGGGGTTGAGGGTTTACTCTAACAATCTCTGAAAGTGATTATAATGTCATGCACATCTGGCTCAATCAATACACTACATTTTAAACCGCAACAATATGTAATATAGTCAGGTAAAGCTTCTTGTTCAGGACTAGAGCATGGACATTTGGGTGCAGTTTACAAGAACCTGGGCAGAGAGTCATACTTCAAAGGGAAAAAAATATAATTCTACAGTAAATAAATATTTCTGTATGCTCTTTTAGTTAATTTTGGTCTTTATTAAGTGATGTTGGAACACTTGCTATCCTGATCATACCTTTATATCTCTTTCTCAGTCGCAGCTGTTTAAAAAATTAATACATTAAGAGGCTCAGATAACAGCCATCAGTGTGTGGCTTGAATTATGAAACATGTATTTATGACATAAAATTTCTTAAAAGGCCCTTCAATGTCAATTTTCGTTTGATTGAAACAGATTCATTTCAGAATTCTTGCTACCATTAAATCAAAAATTCAAAAAGGACATTGTGAAACTCCGGCAATGACGAGAATCTTGAACAAGTTTGTTTAAACAATAAAAACAAAAGAAGTGTTCTTTTAATAGCCAATTAGTAGCCATAACCTTTATATTTCTGACACAGTTTTCGATTAACACGTACTTCATGAGTTCAAACTTTTGAAACCGAGTCTCACAGCTTCGACGAGATTTGATTTTTTAATGATTTTTGTTTCACGATTCATAATCTTTCGACCCTTCGTCTTTTAATAAGAATTCTGAACTGGTAAGCGTGTTGAATCACAATAAAAAATTGACTACTAGACGGGGAAACAGTGCAAAGTTTAAATCGACGAGTGACATGAAATTGCAGCTACCTCATGTGACGTGAATTCCATTCGAATATTTGCTATGAAAAGGAAGGAAAGCTCGCTATTTACAAAATCAAATACCTTCTAACAGTTACGTTATTCCGGGGATACCTACCCAGAGGAAAAGTTTTCAACAACAAAAGCTGCATTCAAAATATTTTCTTTGCTTTGATGTTCAACACGAAACGTAAAGGTTGAGAATAACTCAACATCCCAGCATGATGTGCCTTGGGAGGCTCGCTAATAAGTCACAAAACAAAGATCGAAAATGCTTTCATGAAGCGAGAACTCGTTATAAGCCGATTTAGGAGCTATGAAATGTCACTTGCTACCACCTCACAGAAATACCGACAATTTAACCGCTGATCTCAGAGATTACAGCGGCGATAAACCAGAAAACCACATACCGGCTGCATCGCTAAATGTTAAACCGTGGTCATCTCAGATAATTTAGCGAGAACAGTAACATCAAATTATGGCCGCCCATATTGGTGTTAAAAATCTGCTGCGCAAAATAAAACCGAAAATAAGATATAAGCGAGTTCCTGTGGGAAAATCTCAGAAATAAGTTCTCAAATCACCTCTCAGATTCCTCTGAATCGTCGCTGTGCGAATCTTCCGAGGATGACTCTTCTTCGCTGGAGCTCTCCTCTTCCGACTCTCCATTTTCTTCTTCGTCCTCTTCCTCTGATCCTTCTATTTCGCCATTTTCTTCCACGTTCTTTCCACTTTCACCATTACTCGGGTTAACAGGAGTGGTTCTTGCTGTTGAACTGACCTGGGTTTCTCCTATTTCATGATCTCCGTTCAAAACTTTGGATTTCAATGGCGGGCCGGTTTCATCGTCCGCCACCTCCATATCTTCTCGTTCGTCGCTACTGAGGTCGTCGGCCATGACTAAACTAATACTCCTTCGTCTTCGATTGAAACAGAAGCACGAGACAGGAAAATTCCACAGAGAAAAATATTGCAAAACCAGGGAAAACCTAAGAACGCCCTCAGTCAGAATTGATACGCAAATGAAGGCAAGGTCATTAGAAGTGCGTTTGTGAGAACAAATAAACAATAGAACAGCCAATCAGAAACAGCTAGAGTGATACCAAATGGCCTCTCGGAATCACTCCAAATTTGGTAAATGTCAGGGAATCATCTTCCTTCTTCCCTGAGTTCCAATCATTTTCGACGTCAATTATTTACCACTGACTTGACAAACGGTGTGAAATATATGACAGGGAAAAATTATAGCCAGCCTACGAAATAAACACAGCTTGTCTGAAAAAAAACAAATCAAAACAAAATAAATTCAGGATTGATAAATTGTACACTTTATAGGAACTGTGGCATTTATGGAGAGTTCTAATTTTTGACATTTTTTCACGTTTCGCTTGACAAGAAATACGTGAAAATCACATTTCCTGAAAATATCTACCGTTATATGGGTCTTAGATTGCACACTGCAATATCAGTAATTTTAGCGGATGGGGTATACATGTAAATATTTGTTTCAAATCTAACACCAGAGCAGCTGGGTTGAACCACAGAAGCAAAAGAATTTTCAACTAAAGGAATCCAAATCATTTGATTTAAATGGGAGTATTCGACTGTATTTAGTAAAAGATCAATGTTTGTTCGTGCGCTGGTAGATATTCACCAGGCTAACGGCTTTATTTGTAATGCGTCAAAGCGCACGACTGGTTGTAAGTTGCAACCGGATCGAACTTCAATCTGAGCGTACGTGGAAGCGATCTACGCAATAGTACGCATTGTCGTAATTCCGTGAAGATTCTCAACAGTTTCGCCTTTTCCCTGAGGCGGGGAAGGACCCTCCTTCGCTATGGAAAACAAAGGAAACACAAACGAACAAAATGGTCAGACCATCCAGATTATAAATTATTTGAAGGCAGTCAGATATCGATACTCCTGCATGTAAAGATTTACGCTGCAATTTGTTCGGCTAATCAATATTGATTTTTTTTTTGTCTGATAACAAATAACACAAGGCATTAAATGCAATCTCGTTTTATTTGAAGTCAATTAGCCCTAAGATCGACTCGGCAAATTAACTGTTGTCGATCGCTTTTTCGTTAGTCGAAGCAAATTCTTAAAGAATTGTGGCATAATTCTTTCCTAGAATCTCGATAAACACGATAAAAAAAATCAGAGAGAGCATCGTTTTCGAAAAGTGATGTTTGCTCTTTTTCTTTTCTTTTCCTATTTTTTCCTTTGGCCACTTGGGAGTTCTGCTGCCGCTGTCATGATAATTTTCAAAATTTGAATTCCTGAGTAAGCAGAAGCTCCAAGAAACACAAAGGCAGCTCACGAGACGACTCTTATATATTCTTTCCACTTTTTCAAAACGGAAATTCATCAAAGTAAGGGCATGCTTAGGTCAGTGGGTATGGCATAAGAATCAGGAAATGCTTTGAAGTTTTTCGAATGTTTTGAATCTTTGTCACTCGGTACTAATTGCTGCCGTTCACAGCCGGGCCAAATTTCTCCCTTACTGTGAATACTCCTAAAGAGTCTGTTACCTCAGGAATGAAAGGGTGGAAGAGAAATCGACTTTCTCAGACTTAATAGAGTTCAAGAGTATAGGAAAAAAAACTTTCAGCAAGGAATTCAAGTGATTTCAGAATAGATCAGCGGTTTGGAACTTGCCGCCGAAATCGTGAAAATGAGCTGAGTAGGGCTTGAGAAAACCACCACGACTTTAATTATCATAATTGTCAGTACTAATTTAATGGTTAATTAATGACCCAGCTATACTCAACTAGCTGTTGTCAGATTGCGAAGCCCGAAATCTTCAACAGATTTTAGTAACTGCTTATAGTGGCTCATTTAATAGCATATCTTTCAATAGTGGATATAACCAAGATATCAGCGATCATCTATCAAAAGGTCGAATGAAATCCAGTTCCAACCTTGGTCAAACATGTCTGTTTGAAACACGCAATATGATAGAGCACGGGGTACGTTAAAATCCTCTTAGCTTGCTTTTTAAATAATCTAAACATAGTATGGATCCAATAGTATAAAAAGCATTTTCGTGGTGATCGTCATTGTACACTTACATATGTAAGAACTTTTTTATAAGAACGTTTAGGCTGGGATTAATAAGAATTTTAAGAACATATTCCTGCTGAGAGCTAGTTAAAAACGGCTAATTTTTTTTATTTCGGCAAGAAGTATAAACAGACGTATGAAAAAAAGACTCTCTAACAGGAAAAATGAACTAAAATGCTTGGGGACATTTTCTAACGTACATTTAACGATGCGGTTATTGCACATGATACACTGAAGAACAACTCAGTTTAATTGTTTAGTAATTCACCACATATCTTTAAAAACATGTTAAGAACATGTTAAGAAGGTTTTCAGGCTTAAATCGAGAAAAAAAAAACTTGAGAACGTTCAGCCTCAGCACCAAAATTAGACGTTCTTAATAAAAAAAAAAAATGGTGCATCAGTTTTCATTCGTATTAAAAAAGATTTAGTAATACATAGACAGGTAAAAACGAACGATATAAAATCCCGACGTTTCGGCGACTTCATGACGCCATTACTCTTGTACCCATGTACCCATTACCCATTACCCATTACCCATGTACTCTTGATAATGGCGTCATGAAGTCGCCGAAACGTCGGGATTTTATATCGTTCGTTTCTACCTGTCTATGCAGTTTTCATTCATCTCACAAATTTCAGTTTGTATTTTTTCCTATTATCAATTTGTGCTTAATTCAGTGTTTAACCTCTTCACTCCGAAAAGTGACTAACATCCATTTTCTCCTCACTATTGAATGAAACATTAGGATGACGAGAATGAAAGGAAAGGAAGAGGACGAAAGGAAATGCCGATTACCATGAGTGTCAAACAAATTCTTCTTGTTTGTCTCATAGGGAATGTTTAGAGAAAACAGTTTGGAGAATACATATGCGATGTCAGGGTATATATATGCTTAGCAAGGGTTAAGGGAGATAAAATGACCGGCTTAAACAATCCGAGTCAACAAGCAATTGGGACGAGAATTGCAGAAGGCAAAAATAAACGATCAGAAGTACGGGCGAGTGTTGGATCTCTAGTCTGCACAAAAAATGATAGATGAAAGATTGATAATGAACAATAGAAGTAAAAATTATAATGATGATGGTGATGATGATGTAGGTAATGACGTCGTAATGTACTGAGATTATTTTCATAGCCTTTTCAAAGTCTTAGTTTAGACGTGCTCAAAGCAGATACAGACAGAAGTTAATTACATTTGACGTGAATGGATAGAGGAAGTATGCGGGAAAGAGGATGTAAAACTGATTGGTTTAACAACTAAAACACGTATCCATGTATCGCTCATTCTGGGATGACAGCATTAACTGGCTAATCCTTCTGTATTATGCCTCCCCCGGCCCGCCTCCC